CGTATTTTAGCGATTTGGGAAATTCCACCCGCAACAGTGGTAAATTGGCGGAAAAAGGTTGTATGAAAGTTTTTTGTTTACCATCCGATCGGCCCCAAACTCAAAGATCTATGTTCAAATTCATTTGAGGGGTGTTTTTTTTACCCAATCGCTTCCGCCTAGTATGCCAACTGGCAAAAGGGAGGAAACAAAACACAAATTAGAAGTTCCGTCCGCAAGCACCTCCAGAACTTCTCCGTCTCCAACAGCAGCCCTTAAAGTCCAAAGGGGAATATCGTCCCGGACTAAAAGCGAATCATCCGCGTCCACGTCAAGGGGAATTGCCAAGGCACCTCTTAGTTCGAGGCCAAGTCCACTGATAAAAATCAGTCTCCCACCGTCCAAAGCCAAAAGCGAAGCATCCCTGACCACTGCAGTCTGACGCTCTATGGCAACTGTCAGCACAAGAACTAGTCCGATTTCCACGCAAGCTAACACCAAAACGGCCCAAAATATGACAGACGCGGCCTTGATCAAGTTTATTGCTGTCACTGATAGACTTAGTCAGTTCGAGGCAAAAATAAACCCTCCTGAAGGAGCTGACCCGTCTCTTTATACGTGCCAGGTCCGCCGGGACCAAGTGCGAGCCTTGTGGGACAAGGTTGAAAAAGAGTTCGAGGTCGGCTCAGCTGTAATCTCAGAAGCCGGCTCAACCATTGTCATCATGCAGTCCAAGTATGACTACTGCTACTCAGTATATGAGAGATGCGCCGCTAAACTAAGCGAGTAAATCGATACTGCTAACGTCCAAAATAGACCGTCCGCCATTCCGACATATGTTCCCACCGGCTGTCGCTTACCTCCTTGCGACACAGAAATCTTTAGCGGAGATTATACACGTTGGCCCATATTTGAGACCTCTTTACCGCAATTTACATTAATAATCCTAGGTTATCAGAGGTCGAGAAATTATTCCATCTCATTGCGAAAACCAGCGGCGAGGCTCAGGCGATTGTGTCGAAGTCACCTTTGACAAACGATGGCTTCCGATCAGCCTAGGCCAATCTGACTGAGCGTTTTGAGAACCGAAGACTGTTAGTCAACAGCCAGCTCAAGGTTCTTTTCAACCTGCAGCAAATCACCCAAGAGTCTGGAACGGCAATAAAGAAACTTCAGAGCACCATTCAAGGTTGCTTAACAGGTCTGGAGTTATCCGAGATTAACATAGAAAACTGGGACTGTATACTCATGTTCCTATGCTCCTCCAAGCTACTCAAATTAACACTCTCCTTATGGGAACAGTCCATCTCGAGAAAAAACGACATCTCATCTTGGCTTGAGATGAACGCCTTTCTCATAGGACGCTATCGCACTCTAGAGGCGATAGAAGAGCTACTCCAGCGCACTCTAGAATTGTTCGCACAGAACCTCCTACCACAAAAAGGCTTAATTCATTTGAGAATAAGGTCGCTAACAAGCCGCAAGCTTGCAAATTGTTCTCCAGGGAAAACTACCCTATCCGTCTGTGCCCCCGATTTCTTCAAATGCCCGTCAGCGAACGGGCAACTGTTTCGCTAGGGGTCATCAGTTAAGGGATTGCAGAAGTGCTCACAATTGTTTTACGTGCAAGGGTCGTCACAATACACTCTTGCACCGTAATGACACTCCACAATTGACCCCTGCGGTTGTTTCCATCCCACAAGCAGCTTCCTCCAATCCACTCCCTCCCAACATACAAGTGTTCAAAATTATGTTGCAATTAACACCCATGGTGTTCTCCTAAGCACGGCTGTCAATTATAAAATTATACAGCTCGTGCACTGATCGACTCGGGATCAGGGGCAACATTTATTTCCGAGCGACTCTTCCACCTGATAAAGCTGCCGTACAAATCCGTATAGGCACAAGTACTGGGATTGAATCAAGCTGTTGCAGCCTAGCCTCGCAAGCTCTGCAATTTTAATATTGGCTCTCCTTCCAAGCCCCTCATCCACATCAAGGCATCAGCCTACGTCCTACCACATTTGGCAGGGAATCTACCATCATGTACGATCCCCCAAAACTTATTGAGAACCCTGCCAAACCTCCAGTTGGCTGACCCTGATTTCTACAGGAGTTCGCAGATAGATGTGTTGATTGGCGCTGATATCCTGCCGTCCATACTAACAGGCGGCTCCCTTCCTAATATATGTGGCCTTCTAACCGGCCCAGTTTCAAAGACCGCATCTAATGCGATCGCGTCATTCTCAACTCGCATATCTGTATCTCAAGAAGAACAATAAACAGTATTCTCACAAAATTTTGGGAGGTGGAGGACATTCCAGTCAAACTGGTAAAGAGCTCCGATTCTTTCTGTGAGAGTACTTTTATCCAAACAACAAAGAGGAATGAGAATGGCAGATATGTAGTCACCCTACCTTTCCGGGAACGTAATCACATAGACTTGGGACATTCAAGATCTTTTGCACTAGCTTAGTTTCTAAGGAACGAGAATCGCTTAAAAAGAAACCCGCCTTTAAAAGAGCAGTACGACTCCGTGATTCGGGAGTACTTCGACTTAGGTCATATGACGCAAGTCTCTTTAAACAGTAACGCCAATAATTTTTATTTGCCGCATCATGCTGTTTTAAAGCCCACAACAAAGGTTCGCGTTGTGTTTAATGGCAAAAGCCTAAATGACATCCTACACACAGGACCTGTACTCCAATCCGATCTGACTATTCAGATATTAAAGTGGCGGTTCTACCGCTACGTTTTCAATGCCGATATAACTAAGATGTATCGGCAAATCCTGGTCGATCCAAGACATACACCCTACCAGCGAATACTTTTTCGCAATAAGAACGAAGAACTTTGCGACTTCGAACTCAACACAGTTACCTTTGGGGTAAACTGTGCTCCATACCTCGCAATTCGGGTCCTCCATCAACTTGCTCGTGATATACAAGAACAATGTCCCATCGCATCCGATATAATTGAGAATTATATGTATGTCGATGATGTTCTAGCAGGGGCACACACGAAGCAATTTCAGTCATTGCAGAACTCCGCACGGCACTCAACACAGCCGGGTTCCCTCTGATAAAGTGGACATCAAACACAAACGAAGTGTTAAAAGAAATACCAAGGGACCACTTACTGTGTGCGGATTTCTTAGAAATCGAAGAGGCTAGCGTCAAGTTTACAATATTTTACATAGAATTAGCTTACACTACAAAGTGTTTGTTAGTTATTTGACTGAGACTGAGACAATTGATAGTTTTCGTACCTAGCGCAAGCGCAAGATGGGTACTTAAAAAAATTAAGCGAGGCACTGGCATTTGTTAGTCCGTTTCTTCCTGTTTTGCAACAGGGTGTTGATCTGCTTCAGTTCCTCCTATAGTTGCGGTTGGCGGGCCTTGTCCTCGACCCTTGCCTTCAACAGCGCGATGACCAGATGCCGCCTGTTGACGATTTTGGCTTTTTCGCCTCCTCGTTGTTTCCTATGCGTCGCCGGTGCTGGTACGCTGACGCTCCCTCTCTTGTACTCCTCTATAGTTATAGGCCTGGGCCCGTCTCGCAGGCTAGTCTCCAGCACTTCCTTAATTATTGGTGCATCCGTTTGCGTTATTGGTGTTAACTCTACGATCGTCGGTGTTTTTGATTCGTTATTTGCCATGTGACGTTGTTGCAGTTGTTGTTGCTGCTGCTGTAGCTGCAGCTCCTTTTGATATTATCGTTGCTGCTTATTGTGGCTGCGCTTGGTGGGTGTATGTTGAGTGTAAATTTTTAATTCATACCAATTACTGTTTTGTTTTCGGATTGCATCGTTGTCAGGCGACGGCTCCTTTTGGATTGTTGTTGGTTTTATTTGCTGTTGTTATTGCTGCTGCTGTTCCATCTTGTAATGTTGTTATTTTAGTTGATGGTATTGTACAGAATATTCCCTCGTTGGGTGACACTTGTCACGGTCGCATTGTAGAGAAAAATGCACGGCAGTGCTGGTTTGTAATCATTTTTAGAATGTTCTTTATTCGGAACTCTGTCCGCTTCGAAACCTAAGATATAGGTATTATTTTATGTATAGCTCTGTCACAGCAGAACATAATTAAAAAAGAGAAAGTGTGTGTGGTATGTGCATGCATTAGTGAGTACATATATGGTACTCTTGGTATATGAGCAAAGCGTGGGATATGCGCCGTCAGCTAAACGGCCAGCTAGAGTACTAGCGGTCCGCACTGCGTAATATGAGCCTAAGTCAATAAACTCAAATGGCTCTGCGCTTTTGGCTTTATGTGTGTTATTGTATGCAGCAAAGTGTCGCATACTTATGTATTTAAATACAGGATGTTATTTAATGCATATACACACTGCATTCGATCTATGGTACCTTCCTCGTCACTTTCGAGCCACTTTCCTAGAAGTGGCAGATTCGCCAGTTCTGAACATCACCCAATAACACAATATATTGAAGCTGCCCTATACTGCTTGGAGCCCTAGCGCTCGGGAGAACAGTTATATATTTCTCCTTGCTACAGACACCTTGCTGCTTTCTACACTCTCAGCCTCTCCATTTAGGTCATGCGCTCGCGTAGGCTGCTCAACTCCACCACCACCATAGTGAAATTGCGCTCTCGCAGCGTTAAACAGCCGATCAAAGGCGCGTTTGCAGCGGCTGGCGCCCGTTACATTCAAATACTAAATTATATTAATTAGCTCCATGCCCTTAACTTTAATAATTTTGCTCCTTGGCTTTACCAAACTTATAAATAAATTAAATGGTTTCTTTCCTTAACAAACCTTATGTTAAATATAACAATGCCTATATACTATAAATATGATTAACGTAAAACTAAAAATCTGGATCTTTACCTCAGCTAGGGGTTGTACGGTGGCTGGCATTGTAACCGCCTTGTACGATTTACAACCATTGAAACCGCAGATCTCTTCTGTTCAATGTTGCTTGCTATAATAGACTGCAATCAATATATAATTGTGTTTTTTATTTATTTATAGAAAATATTTTGAATGAATGGAATCTGTAACGCTTTATATTTTTCCTTTATTGTGTAGCTTTTTCTTTTCAGAAATAATACATATATATAATTCTTACTTAAATTGTGTTATGACAGGTTTTTGACAGGTAACACTAGTAGAAGACATCATATTTTTTCGACATTTATACCGATATTGAGTAGTTTGTTTCGGTATAGGCCTGGTAAAAACTTTCTGAAAATAATCACAAATAAAATTTTTCTTTCAGTAAAAGTCAATATATTTATAATATAAACAAAAATGCTTAAAGCTGCCGGTAATGCCGAAAGTAATTTTTTCGTTAAAGCCGACTAATTCCAGAACATTTAGTTTGTCGCAGGTAATGGAAATGTACACCTACTTGCGGTACAAATAAGAGAAGCGGGCTATCGAATTACATCCTAATATGTTCGAGTTTACTTTGGTAACGGATACCAACACAATTTCTTTCATAGCTAGCGTTCAAGCTCGACCTTGAATTACACTAGTTTCGACATGCTATTGATATTAAGTAAAAATTAAATAGATAATATAACTTAAGAGTGTATTCTTATATGTTGATAAATGGTCGTCTGCCAGCACTTGGCCTAACGTTCTGTGGAACAAACTGAAAAGCAATTACATGTAAACCTACAATGAAGTATATCACTGTAAAACGTCCTTGCAGCAGGATAATGCCAGTGCAATTCTTGATACAGCATTGGGTGCATCGGTACCAACTTCTGTAACGACGCTAGCTGGTCCTGACTGAGGGTGGTGTTAACTAAGAGCACCTCCCAGAACATAACAGACGTAATAGGTACAACATGCAGTACGAGTCTTCAACACTGGCTACCAGGGTCTCGCTAGCTGGTCTGGGACTCGTCTTAGGAAGCAAGCGTTCACGACGAGTACAGCCAAGGCAGCTACAACCGATGAACATTACCACAGAAATGCCTACGCCAGATACGATCTGTGTGCAGGCTAAAAACATAACATCAACGGCTTGTGAGCACACAAGTTGTGCTCCCTTATGGGCACCTCATCATGGGAGGGCCACACCTTCAGATGCACTACATATTTATTGGATCCGGGGCGCATCCTACATACCTATGCTATACAACAACAGGATCAAGACAACCAAGTGAAGGGAGTGGTCATCAGAACGTGATGTACGTCGGGAGCTTTAGAGACCAACAAGCTCCAAGCTCCAAGCAATCCAAGTAAGAGGTTCTAGTCGGGAGCTCCCGACTAGGGGATACCCTAAACCCTCTTATTCCAACACCAAATGCAGCTCGCGCTACGCGCTCTTTTGCTTTAGTAGTAATAAAGATTAATATAATATATAAATATAAATATAAAATAAGTAAATAAAGATAAATTTAAAAAAAAAATCCCTTGGCAGGGTTCCAACTCGCCGCATTACTTGCTGCCGCCTCTACGCAACAGCCACTCCAATAACTAAGTCTTAATGAGAAAAAAACGGATTCAATTAGCAGCAAACAATACTATCGCAATTACAATGCTGTTGATAGAATTCAAAGCAGACGCACATGAATGTGTGTGTGTACATGTATACAGAAATTCTTGCAATTTTCCCTAGCTGCCTCGCAAGCACGAGGCCAGCCAAAACACGTATTCTTTGTGCTTCTTAACCGATCATGATGAAATTTTCAGCAGAGCTTATTGTGCTATAGAATATTCGTATATTCTTAAAAATGGCTTTAAGCCATTTTTTATGGGGTTAGGGTATAAAAAAAATCGATCCCTCAATAGGACTCGAACACGCAACGGACAACACTTCTTGCCACAACCCCTACTCAACGGCCACACCAGCCAAAAAAAAAAAAAGAAAAAAGTTTCCTCGGTAGGTCTCGAACCCGCAGCAGACCGCACTACTTGCCTCCGCTTCTACCCAACAACCGCACCAACTATTGAAACCAAACAAGAAAAAAACGAATTAAAATAGCAGCACAGAAAACAGTACAATCGCAATTGCAATGCTGTTGAAAGAATTCAATAAAGACGCGCATGAATGTGTGTATGTGTATACAGAAATTCTGGGAATTTCCGCTTGTTGCCGCTAATAGGAGAAAAGTCAAAACACGTGTGGGGAGTTGTTGACTCTAGCTCTTATTATTTACCAAAATTGCTAAAAAAACAGGATTTCGTTATCGATTTTTATGGAAACGTGGCAAGTTATCGAATATCGAAAACAAACTCGATCTGCGCGGGAACAAGGAGGACCTACAGCTAAAATTGTAAGTCTCTAGCTCTAATAGGTTTCGAAATCCTTGCGTTCATACATACGGACGGACGGACGGACAGACAGACGGACATGGCTAGATCGACTCGGCTATTGATGCTGCCTGTTACATAAATTTGCACAAATACATTATACCCTTTTTACCCATTTTCAATGGGTTCAGGGTATAAAAATAATAAATGCAAGCTTTTATTGTTGCAACTAAATGAGGCAGCAAAGATGTCCGTCATCTTTGTGGAATGGCCGGAAAAGATGCAGCAGAAAGCAAACTGTCAACTGGCCAAGTTACTATGACGCGTTCTCAATGATCGTTTAAACGACATTCAATAATATTACTATCTTAAGCATTCACCGGCACCGGGGCAGTACAAAATTATATTCCTCCAACCTAAACTATTAGTTTGCCCGGATCAATCGTTAGAACAATCCACGCATCTTCTTTTCAAACCATATGAATATGTTTTATAACTTGTCTGGTTTGAATTAGGAAAGGTCTGACGATACACGCTCAATGGTCAGCACTACAACGTCCGCATAGCCGCTTGTCAAAACGTCAACGCACCATTACAAGAGGACGATCACAGCCTTTACCATTACCTAACATCAAAGCTACTTAAGGAGACTCATTCTGCATGCAAGGGAGTTGTGAGTAAGGACAAACTTTGTCTGACTTGCTTGAACAAATCCCACAAGCTCTCACGGTGTACCAGCACCAAGAACTCAGCGGAATACGTCATAATACTTTGCTTCTCTTTCCAGCGGGTCAGAAGCGACAATAACCTTCAATTACTTCCAGCACTTTGATCACCATCGTCGGCCAGGAATCAGAACGATGGTGCAAACTTACGATTAGCTCTCAGATTCAAACCGATGCCGACCTAACTTTCAACTAAGAGATCGATGCAAAGTGTGTCCTTAACTCGTTGACATTGCATTTGCCGAGTCCACCATTCGCGCCCCAGCCGTGGAAACATATCCAAGGACTCCCGTTGGCTGATCCTCGCATGGAGCAGATCTGATGGCCCAAATCATAAAACCAGATACAACAAGTAAGAGGTTCTAGTCGAGAGCTCCCGACAACAGGATACCCTGAACACTCTTCTTCCAACACCAAAAGCTTTAGTAGTAATAAAAATAAATTAAAAATAAAAACGTTTCCTTGGCAGGGTTCGAACTCGCAACTAACCGCACTACTTGCTACCGCGTCCACTCAACAGCCACACCAGCCACAACAAAATAAAAAATTATTTCCTCGGTAGGTCTCGAACCCGCAGAACTACCTGCCGCCGCCTCTACCCAACAGCCACACCAAACACAAATTAAAATAGCACCTAAGAAAACAATACAATCGCAATTGCAATGCTGTTGATAGAATTCAAAGCAGACGCGCATGAATGTGTGTGTGTGTACATGTATATAGAAATTCTTGGAATTTGCGCTAGCTGCTGCAAACACGTGGGCTCCCGAAACACATATTCCTTTGTGTTTCTTACCCGATCTTGATGTAATTTTCACCCGTAGATCTTATTGTACTTTTAAATATTTGTGTATTCTCAAAATGACTATTGCATTTAAATTGTCGCCTATACTGCAGCATATGTAAATTGGTTTATTTACTTGATTTATAACTTTGTGGTCGTAGCGGCGAGGAGGCGATAGGTATAAAATGAAAGATACTGATATATATATACTATTCTATAAGCTACATGTCAAGTTTGGTGACTCTAGCTCTTATTATTTACCCAATTTGCTCAAAAAACAGAATTTCGATATCGATTTTTATCGATTGCTTGGAAACGGAATAAGTTATCGATTATCGGTACAAACTCGTACTGCGCATGGACTAGGACTACAGCTAAAATTTCAAGTCTCTAGCTCTTATAGGTTCTGAGATCCTTGCGTTCATACATACGGACGGACGGACGTACGCATAGACGGACATGGCTAGATCGACTCGGCTATTGATGCTGATCAAGAATATATATACTTTGAGGGGTCTTAAATACTTAAATACTCCGATCCATGTTGGTGCAACCCAGAAAAACGCCGATTTATTGCAGCAGGAGTAGACTATACAGTAGTAATTGAGCATAAAGCTTCGCTCGTCCCCGTGGTTACAGTGAAAACTTTGTCGTTTACCTATTATCGCTTTATGACAACTTCTCTTTCTTATGTTCACTAATCAATCGCACATGTACGTAACTTTGTCTTTCCTCATTCAGCTTTTTTTCAATGAGAGCTTACATTGGACCACTATGACATATAGCTGCCAAAGGAACGATCCGTCGAAATGTTGTTTCTGTAATGGGAACCTTCTTATACCCTGAGCCCATTGAAGATGGGTAATAAGGATATAATGTATTTGTGCAAATGTATGTAACGGGCGAAGGAAAGCATCTCCGACCCCATAAAGTCTATATATTCTTAATCAGCATAAATAGCCAAGTCGATCTAGCTGTCCGTCTGTCCACCGGTCTATCCTTCTGTCCGTCCGAATATATGAACGCACGGATCTCAGAACCTATTAGAGATAGAGACTTGAAACTTTGAACGTAGATCCTCCTTGTACCCGCAAAGTGGCAAACGATTGATATAGCAAGTCCATTTTTATGATATATCTTAGATTTCAAGTGCTACAGTCAAATTTTCATTTTAACCATCAGAATCAAATAAATATAAACTCCAATTGGAACCAGACAACAACTACAACCCTGTTATCTTTTTGTAAATACACGAATATTCTATGGATAAGATCTACTGCTGACAATTTTATCATGATCAATTAAACGCGGATGATATTTTCAATTGCGAACTATTCGCTCAGTTTTAAAGATATCGTCTGGAAGCGTTGCAAAGATCCGTATATTTTTTATAATATACTTCCCATAGCAACAATATACAAAATCTAATTTATGTAAGTCCAGACTGTTATATAGCTGCCATAGAAACGATCGGCCACAAATAAAGTTTTTGTATAAAAAACATTTTTTGTTTCTATGGTTTATAGAAAAAACACTTTATTTGCGAGTTTCTGTTTGAGTCAAATCTCATAAAGACCGCCCAACTACATATATTATGTAGCTCATTAGACTGCCAAAATATCTGTATTCCAAGATAGTTTCACCAATGTCAGCAGAGAGAACTATTTTTTTCTTTTTATTTTATTTTAATAATGTTATTTAAAATTATTAAATAAGTAACAACAATGAAATTTGAGCATACGAGAAGGCAACGCGAGCTGCATCTTGATTTTGGAAGAAGAAGATTCGGGGTATCCCGTAGTAGACTCTTACTG